GGTTTTCATGTTAAAAACATGGATCATCATAAAGACCTAAACAATGAGGTTTCTTGGAGCTCTGTGGGCATTTTCATTTTTCCCAAGAGATCATCTCTTACAATATGGACTACTTTGAGGCGCATAAAATTCCCTTCTGAATATTGTTCTTATTGATTCCTTTTAAACAAAAGGAAGCTTAACTTTGGTCATTTCTGTTTAAATTTAAACACACCGGGCTATCACATATCTGTTTGATGAATATTTCCCATTTTGCTTAACGTGAAAGCCAGTTTTAAGACCAGTGAAAGACAATTTGTAATTGGCTGTCATTTCTTTTTAAGTTCCAGATGTTCTTTAACCTATACATTTATTAGATCACTAAACTGAAGAAAGATCAATTATGGAAGGTACAGTAAACTATTTATCTTGACACCATAAAACATCTGCCTCAATACTTACACAACCCAGGGAGTCTTTTTCAATGCCTTTGTCTCCTCCCAGACAAACTATCCCCAGAAGAATGACAGCAGCAGGTGTGTCCTTCCTGCCCCTTCTCCCGTCCTCCCCCTGTTGATTCTGTTCCCCATCACCTCAAACTAAGGATCAGCAGGGAAAGTTCAAGCCCTTCTTTGGCAACAGGTAGTCAATCACTTATGTTGCACGAAGACAGGAAAGACTGTCTGTAAAATATCTTTGGAGGCCTGCCAGTGGCATTGAAGTCACTTTCCGTCTGGAGAACAGCCACAGTTGGAACACTGAAGACGGAAATACAGAATTCATCAAACTAATCTCACTTAGAGGCTTTATAGCCTTCTAAAAAATTAAGTGGTTGGATCAGGAATTCCCAAGTCCATATTTCAAGCAGTATAAAGTTTACAAGATGTTGTTTATAATTCAAGAAACTGAGTTCTACAGCAGACAAAAACATCTGTTTTGGTAAAGATTAGTTTCAAATGACAAAATGGTGCTATTTATTTTGAAAGGCAATTAAGATGTTCTGTGTGACAGGAAAATATAGACATAGATTACTTTTTATTAAGTTACGTATTACTTATCTATTGAAGTCAATTAATAGTACATGTTTCCTAAAGAGAGGCACTATGCAAAAGTCTTAGATCGGAGGAATTTCCATAGAACTAATTTTTCCTAATCACTGCTGTCTTGAGTAAGTATCCATAGCTCTTGCCAAGGGTACACTTAAATATCATAACTTTTGGAGTCTGGGGAGATGAAACAACTATCACCTTAATTCTGAAATGAACACACCTCCTCCAAGTCAAATTAAATGAAGAAACTCTTTGTTTAATGAATTAGCAGAGACTTAGAAGAACCTTCTTTTTGGAACAAGGATATGTCCTGCTATTTTCTGGTACGATCTTTTAAAAACAGATATCGGGTAAAGGTATCAAAAAAAGAAATGATCAAGTTCAGTCTGTTGGGGACAAGTCGGTGTATCTTGGAAAACTGACTTTTACAAAGCGTATGCTTTAGATTAATGAGAAAAATGGACCTACTGGCAGATCTTTGGGATCTCTGCTTTGGAAATAACACAAAAATATTAAAAGAATGATAGAGGGGGAAGGGAAATAAAGGATAATAGACCACCCTTCCACAATGTCTGGATTCTATTCTCTATTATTAACTTTGTTGAATTTTAAATAAATTCAACATTATTTTTCATATTTTAAAATATGCTAATATTTGTTGAAAGAAAATGGGACTTTTTGGTTTAGGGAAGGAGCCATGGAAGTTTTTCAACCTTATTAACTATGGCTTTACTTCAAGTTTTATTTTGTTTGGAAAAGTACATTTCTTGTCTTAAAATGAAAAACCAATGGGAAAAAAATATACAGTTCACTGTAACTGTACTCAGCAAACTGCTGAAACGCATCCTAGGTCCTTTAGGGAAGAGTATTATATAACACTTTGTTATGTCCTAGCTAGGTTTTGGCAATTGCGGGTGTTCTTTGTTCATAATCTGGGTTTATCATTAGAAAAAAGTCTTATCCACTCTTTAATTCTTGCAAGTTAACTTGGCAGAGAACTGTAAAAGTGACCAAACACAGGATATATGACTTAACCATTCCAGATCAATCAAGTAACTTTTCCCCAAAACATTCAATATTGCTTTTAGAATACATCCAAATTTTCTATGTAAGCCTCACAGCTTTACACTAAGTACAGAGGACACCGAGAGGGCCAGTCAAGCAGATTCTTGAACAGGCTAGAACGCCTTCTAGCTGAAATTTTCACAGACACCAAATGGAGCAGAGATTGAACTACCATTGTCCCTGATAATGATATAATATTTGAGACCAACCCTTTTCCATTTAATTGGGGAAAATTTTTGCATGATGACCCTTTGGTTTGAATTCCTTGACTTTTCATAATGAGGGCAGAAACGACACTTTCCTGGGGGTGGGGTGGGGGAGAGGATTGTCTCATTTTGGAAAAAAGCATTCAACTCCTTTTGTTAAGCAGCCTTGTGTGGATTTCACGTTCTGCCTCCTTCCTAGCCCTACGATACCAGGTCTAGGCAGGGCGGCGCTTTTCTTCCAGGCACAGCCGCGTCGGAAGGCGCCCTCCTCCCACCCCTTTCTTTGCCTGGGCATTCACCAACATCCCATTCTGGGATTCCTTGAGCTCCTACGCCTCATCTCCACCCCCTGGGGATCCAAACACCAGCTACACCCAGCAGCACCGGCCGCGCATGCAAAGGATGGTAGGGCGATTCCTCCAAGATCAGGTCTCCTTTGTCGCGCCCCCACCTAAAGGATACGGGGTCCAGACGCACACGCACACACACACACACACACACACACACACACACACACACACACATCCTACACACTACACACACACACACACACACACACACACATCCTACACACTACACACACACACACACACACACACACACACACACACGCACGGATCGGTGGCGCCGCCGGGACCCAAAGGCACGTAGCAAGAAGGAAGGCATGGCCAGGACGGCCCCCAGCCAGGTGGTGGCTGGGAGCGCCGGCGACCAGCAAAAAGGGGCTGATCCCCTCCCGGGCCTCCTGCCCCACCGCCCCCCGCTACGGCCCCGCCCCCGGCCTCGCCCCCCACCCTCCGGCCCGCGGCCGACTGGTCAGCGCACGCGCGCCGGTGCGCCCATCCCCGGCGCCCTCGGGGGCGCAGCGCCCGGGCTGGGACCCGGCGACTCGCAGCTGTGCCGGAGGGACGCTCCAAGTCGCCATGAAAGAGACGCGAGGGGGGGCGTCAGCATGGGCACACAGGACCCAGGAGACCTCCGGGTGCCCACCTAGACTCCATTTTATTTCCTCGGAAACTGGGGGTGGGGTCCGGCGCGGGGACCGGCCGCGGGGCGGGGTTCCTCCGGGCGGCGCGGGGGGAGCGAGACCGTTAGGCTGGAACCCCGGGACACTGTCCAGGCAGCTCCGTGCCGCCACCCGCGCCGCAATAAAAGCCTCTCGCGGCTTCCCGCCCAGCCAGCCTCGCTCTGATTGGTCGCCAGGGGAGGGCCCCCGAGTTGGCTGGGGGCAGCGGCCAGCGCCGCCCTCGTGCCGCCTGGGGAGGGGGCGCGCTGCCGCTGCCCCGGCCCGCCCTGCGCGCTCCCCCACCCAGGCCCGGCTCTCTCGGGTGGCTCCGATGACACCTGGCAACGGCGATCGCGACGCACGGCTTTCCCTCGGGCGCTTCCCGGCACACGCCCCCCGCGCAGAATGTTCGCCCACCCCACCCAGCTCTCTGCGGTCCCAGCCCTCTTTCTTTACCCCCCTTGCCCTGCATCAGCGCCGAAACGCAAACCCTAGAGTGGGGTCGGAGGATGGAGGGTGGGGAGAGTGGGGGGAGCGGCTGGCGCGGCGGGTGTGGACACGGACAGAATCTCCCCGGGAGGCCCGGCTGGAGAGACTCCGGGGGGAGGGAGGGGGAAGCAAAAAAAAAAAAACAGCAAAAAATAAAATAAAAAACGGAGCACGCTCCAGCCCAGATCGCTCTGGGCGGCGGCACAGCCCCAGCCGCACGCGGCGGCGTCGCTCCCGTCTCCCTCCCAGCTCCCTATTGTTCGCACTTTGCGAGGAGCTTGAACCTCGCCCAAAGAAAGGAGACGGGGGGCGAGGGGCTTGGGGCGACTACCTGCCATTCTTCCCTCGCCCCGTGCAACGCGGGGCTGGCGGTGCGTGTGCAGGCACACGCGCGCACACACGCGCGCGCACACACCCGGCGGCCCCGTTCACGCCCTCCTCGCCCTCCGCCCCTCCGCACTTCCTCCTGTCAAAACGCCGCGCACGACCCTCCCATCCCTCCGTGCTCCGGCCCGGGAGCAGCCTTTGCAACTCAGCAGCAATTTGGCAAATGAAAAACTAACGTCATGTCGACCCGGGGTGAGGGGGGTGGGGGGCGGACAACCGGGCCAGACAGCCCCCCATCCCCGAGAGTCGGCCCCCCGATTCTCTCCCGTTTTTGCAAACCGTTATCCGGAGCGGGTGGGGGCGCAAAGGCGGAGAGCCCCACTTTATTCGACCGGGGGAAATAACGAGGAGGGGTGGCTGTCCTGGCCTTATTGTTCACTCTTCCCAGGACCGGGGATGACAAGACCCTTCCCCCGCGGAATTCCACCCTGGACGGGCGGTCCCACTGAGCCACGGCATCCCCCGCCTCGGGGAAGGCGCGCTACCCGTCACCGGCGCGGCCACCGCGTCCCCGGGACCGGGTGGCTCCGCTCCCAGCGCCGTGGGCACACAAAGTGGGGAGGGCGGGCGCGCTGGAGGGGCGCCCGGCGCTCACGGCACGGAGGGGTAGCCCGGGTCCAGCGCAGCTCGCGAGGGCGCGCGGGGTTCAGCCGGGCAGCCAGGGCGATGCGCTCCTTCCTCAGTTCAACGACAATAACCCCCCTTTGCCAAGCACCCCCAAATTAACAGTATGCTCCGGGGCGTGGGGTCGGGGAGGGGGGCAGGGTAGGAGATCAAATCGAGAATCAGAATAATTTTCTTTTTCTTTTGCAAATGTACCTGCAGTTCCCAGGAAAAACAAAGTCCAGATGAGATCCTTAGTTGGCAGCATTGTAATCTGCTGGCTGGGAGGGATGTTCGTGCCGCGGCAAATTCTGTGCCTCCCCCCTTGCAGCGAGCGTGGACGGCGGCAGAGCAACAGACCTAGGGGCAGACAATTGCCAGGCTGAGTATGATTATTTTTGCAGAATTGTTTCCTGCCAGCGGCCGCCGAGCTGCGTTCACGCGCGGATCGGAGAATGAGTGACAGTCCCAGCCTCAGCACAGTCGCAACTCGGAGATCCTTGCGCTGGCCCGGGCCCGCTTTGATGGAGCTGGGGATGCGAGCGGGGGCGGGGGGCGCGGGTGAGAACCTCACTGTGTCCTTCCACCACGCCGGCCACAAATAGTGCCGAACATCAAGGAGGTAAGAGAGACAGGGGAGGCAGATGCGGCCGCCAGCAAAACGCGGCCTGGAGCTGCCGCAGGAGTCGGGCTCTTTCACACGCAGCCTTCCAGGCAGAGCTGGGATTTCTTTGCACACTTCTGCCCTAGGCCTCCGCCGGCCCGCCTGGGCGTTTTAATACCTCACCAATGAGAAAAAGAAGCCCTTAGGTTTGGCTAGCTTTTCGAAGTTATTGCATCTTCATTTGGATCCTTGAAACACAAGAAAAGCCTATGACTTTTTTTTTTTTTAATTAAGTGCCGGAAATTAAGAGATTTGGAGGGTTTATTATGGGGATTGCTTTTGTGGGGAGTTGAATTTTTTTTTTGTCTTGTTTGGGTTATACCTGCCATGAAGTTTGCTCCTTGCAACATCTCTGGGAGGGCTGGGGGTGGGGAGGGAGAAGGTAAGAAACAACATAAGTGAGAGGACAGTACAGAGGTTTTTAGAAGGCATATTCTGAAATAACTTCTGAAGCAAAATATTTTTCTTGTTTATAAATGCAGAAATCCACGCTCTTTTGGTAAAGACCACAACGCTGTTACATTGGAAATATTTTCTCACAAGAACACACACCTCCCTGTTGAAAGTTATTAATGTAGAAAACACCAAGGCACTCACACCAAGGGTGTGAATTAATAGCCAGCTGTATTTTAATCAGAAAAGAGTGACCAGGCAGGTTGAGAATAAACATGTATCAGCACCTGAGCAAGCTCGAGTGTTTAAGCAACAAGAGATAAAGAAGAATCAGGAGCTCTAAGACTTCCAATGCTGGAGTCAGCTCTTAGCCTAACTAATACCAGGGACACTGCAGAGGAAGGCATCTTACAGACTCCCAACTCTCACTGCACTCCCCCATTACCACACACCCCCTTTTCTTTAAACAGCAGGTTCTCCGTTGCTGAGTCTGTAAAAACCATTTTTTCCTGCTCCCCACCAGCCACCCTCATCTCCATGATCAATCTGCTATTGCCTCCCCCCATCACCTATGGCCTATGACCCTTGAAGACCTCTAAAAATACTTCACCCGCCCCCCCCCCACACACATCTTTTAGTTACTTTTGAAATTACAGCCTCAGATCCATTCCAAATAAGTTTTCTTAAAACACACGGAAGAATAAAAAGAACTAAATATCCTGATTCCCAAATCCTGATTCCAGAGATACAGATTTCAGTTTTGTTTTGCACTTGATTTTTAAAATCAACGTGATGCAGGAGCAATTCGAATCTGGACAATTCCCCTTCCTCAATCTTCTGGTACAGGTTTCCAGCAATCTAAAAGCAGAGACCTCCTAAAAGCCTTCCCCAAAATGCCACAAGCATCAAACCTGAGAAGCAATTACCACTCATTTCCAGAAGATGCTTTCTTCGTTTGTTTTGTTTGGGGGCCACACGCAGCTGTGCTCAGAGCTTACTCCTGGGGTCACTGGTAAGGGGCCACTCCTGGGGGGCTCTGGGGACCAGATGTGATGTGGATGATGGAACCTAGGTCAGCTGAATGCAAGGCAAGCACCCCACCTGCTGTACTGTTGCTCGGCCCCCTCCAGAAGATGTTTTCTGAGTGTTCTTGGACCTCCCCCCAAATTCCACCTTGTCAAGTCTAAGAAACACATCAAAATTAAAACTACATCAGTGTATGGGACAGGCAAGTATGTGATGATTCATGGACAGGTGGTGGTCATTTTAGGGGGACTTGCCCTGGTCTTGGAGCAGGGGAGGCTTCAGCAGCTTCTCTATCCAGAGGCACCCACCTTTAGAATCCAGAATGTACGGGTGCCGGCCTGGGAAGCTCCAGGTGCTACAAAACCAGCACAGAGCAACCTGAGCTTGTTGTGGCGGCTAGTTTAATTGGCTGCTCTTGTCAGAAAAGCCAACAGCTTTGGGTGAGTGAAACAGATAGGCAGGAGGCTTCCCTTGGAACTTAAGAAAAATCAAGATGAGCCTAAGGGGGCAGTACCAGTGTGACCATTTCTCTGACTGTTAAAAACACATCTAAAATATTTTGTGCTGTAATTTGGCCATTTCAGTTGTTTCCAAAGTTTGATAATAGAGTTGATGCTTTTTGCAACGCCTTTGGATATTCGCTGAAAAATCACAGTTTAGCCCAGTACTAGGTACGTTGAAGTGTAAAATTGTAGAAAAGTGTTTTGGGCTCCTCCTCCTCCTCTTCTTCCTCCTCCTCCTCCTCCTCGTCCTCCTCCTCCTCCTCTTCCTCCTCCTCCTCTTCCTCCTTATTCTCCTGTGGTTGGAACTGGAGAGTGGTCATGTGGCTGAGCATGTGTTTCATTCTTGTGAGTGTGTAGGACCCGGGTTCATCTGAGTACTGTGCCCCTCCGCACCCAGCACCTCATTACCCTCCTCCCCACCCACACCTATGATGTGATGCTGATGCCCTCACCCCAGGTCTCCCCAAGGCAAGCATCCATGTGAGTGGCCTCAGACCTCTGAATAGTGCCAAACATGGCCAATTGGAAAAAACAAGTCGTTGTTGATCTGTTTGGGGCGGCACCCAGCAGTGCCCAAGACACATTATTCCTGTGCTTAGGGATCATTTCTTGCAGGGATCAGGGGACCATATACCATAATGGGGGACCATATACCATAATGGGGCTTGTAGGAGCTATGAGTCCCATTTGCAAGGTAAGTGTCTTAGCCTCTGTACTATCTCCCTAATCAGCAAAAAAAAAAAAATAAAATCAGTGTTTTTAAAATTGCCATGTTTAAGCATCTTGGGCTTTAGACATGGGCTCTGCTGACATACAATTGTCACACTAAACTTCATAAACTCTTTTCAATGAGTTGTCAACTCTTTCCTAAAACAAGAGGTTTTAATCAATAGGAAGAAGGAGAGATGAAGCCTGAAAAGAAAGGGAAGGTTGGGATACCCAAAATAAAAGTTTCTGTTTCTAATTTTACCAGGAGAGAGAGACACACCCGTTTTTGCAAACCTTCCTCCTTATAGCCCTTGTCAGTTGATTAAAGTATTTCTCACTATTTCTCTCCCCAAATTGTCCCTATTTTTAGCTTTCCAATGGAGGCAGGTGTGGAAATCCTATCTCACTTCAGCATGACTGAATGTTTTTTTTCTCTCTCTTTCTCTTTCTAGCCCCTCCCTGCCTTGGGTGACTGCTGGGCTCTGATTGACTCATCCGTGAATTCTGCCATGGATCATTCCAGACAACGCTCTGTGGCTCCATCATCCTGAGCAGGAGCCATCCATGGTCTCCGGTTCCTCAGAGCTCTTCTTGACAGGCTGACATGAGTTCTGCATTTCAGACGCTCCTTGAACCTCACGTTGCCATGAGACAAAACTGGGGTTCTTTCCCAGCCCTCGCTCTGTGGCATCTTGTGAGTGTGTACAGAGTTTAATGGGAACATCTTGTGAACATTCAGGGCACAAAAGATTAGGAAAGAGCCCCCTAGGACTGTGCTTTTGAGACAAGTGGGTGTTTACTTAGTAAAGTAGAGAATGAGCCCCAAATGCTGCAGCAGCAAGGAGACCACCCAGTCCTCCCACCCACCCACCTAACAGTTCTGGCATGAGACCCTCTGTGAAGGCATAGAAGCCCACAGAAGCACACATTTGAGAAATATTTCCAAAAGTAAAATAGCGTGATTTTGGAGCCTTCTGGAAGGTTGGAGTTTGAAGCCGAAGAAGAAATCAAAGTGCCTTTCATTCATTCAACAAGTATTTCGACTCTTCAACTAAGTAACCCAGACCCACTGCTGTTTTGTGCGGGCTATGCACTGCTAAACTTCAAGGAATGCCTTTTAAATCCCACTCATTAGATATTTATGTTGTGGTCATCACAGATTTTTCAGGCAGATGGGAGACTCAAAGAAGGGGTTCCGTTGCCATGGTGTGTGTGTGTTTGTGCAGGAAGTGTATTAAGTAGGACTTTCAACAGCAACACCTTGGCGGAAAGAAAGCAGACAGGTTGCAAAGAGCAATTCAACTGTGATACCCACACAGCAAGGCTGCACTTTCAGGAGAAATGCGGCTGCTTGGAACATTCTTGCAAGACCAGTCACTGGAGTGAGGAGGACCTAGCAGAGGGATGTGATCTCCGGGAAGCAACTGTCTTCATGGAGGACAGCTCTGGAGGCTGAGAACAGAGGGCAACTCCAACAAACTCAGAGTAAGTCTCCCTCTCCCCAAAGGGCATCTGAGCAATTTAGCACCACGTTAGCCAAGTCACAACAGTCAATAGTCAACTGCTTACTTTTTTTTTTTTTTTTTTTGCTTTTTGGGTCACACAGAGAGATGCACAGGGATTACTTCTGGTTCATGCAATCAGTAATTACTCTTGGTGGGCTCGGGGGACCATATAGGATGCTGGGAATCGAACCCAGGTCGTTCAGGGGCAAGACAAACGCCCTACCCGCTGTGCTGTCAATCCAGCCCCAACTGCTTACTTTTTAATTGTGGCAAATAGCATTGGTAGCACTGTCTTCCTGTTGTTCATCGATTTGGTTGAGTGGGCACCAATAACAAATTGTGAGATTTGTTGTTACTGTTTTTGGCATATTGAATACGTCATAGGTAGCTTGCCAGGCTTTGCCGTGCGGCGAGATGCCATATTTGCTTGTATAGTTTTGTGTCATTAAATATATTCATATTGTTGTGCTACCATCATCACGAGCCACCACCAGGACTTATTAATTTTCCCAACAGAAACTCTGTACACATTAAACAATATCCCCTCCCTACTTTCTCTGAGGTGCTCGTAACTACCAATCTACTTTCTGTCTCTAGAAAGAATGAACTAGAATGTTCTAGTTACAACATGCAAAAAGAATCACACATTTGTTCTTTTGGGACTGTCTTACTTCAACTCACTATTTTCAGGGTTTTTCCAAATTGTAGTATATATAACAATTTTCCATTGTATGTATATACTACATATTTTTAAAAAATCCATTCATCTATCAGTTGACATTTGGGTTCCTTTTACCTTTCGGGTAAATAAATATCTGTTTCAATCTCTGCTTTCATTTCTCTTTGGCCATTTACCCA